TTTTGTTGTCTGTGCTCTCACAATGCATGCCCATCTGGCTCCGTATCTGCACGCGTCGTCCGGGTCCTTGGATCGCGTGGTAGCTGAGTTGTGTGAATCGCTCACCACACTGGCGACTGAATTCAAAAACACCGTGTCCAATCGTCAATTTTCTATTCAAGTTGTGCATCAGATTAATGAATTGCAGTTGCTCATGTTGGAGATGAAACATCTGGTCAATCTTGTCGAAGGTCTCATGAGAAACAATCATACCGCTGCTGGCCTCGGCCGAGGCGATGCATCATCATCCTCATCATCAGTGTCTATGCCCCCGATTGGCTGGTCCAACTGGATCCATTTTCCCAGTTGTCGATTAATCTACTGGTTTGTTTCTTGTCTGCAAGAAATGCGCCCGCACTCCCGATTCCATAATGCTGTGGATGTTTGGTTACCTCGTGTTAATCAAGCATTCCGGTCTTCGGGGACCGCCGTTGATTTGAACGAGTTAAAACGAGCAATATGTTCGATTTTCCAATCGGTTAGTTCACCAGCTCGACTTACGCGCTGAGCCACTTTGTCCGTGCGCTCTTTCCGAAATTCAATATGACTCGTAATTATTCTGGCCCTATACATCTTTTGGTTCCACAGATTCCCTTCTTTGTTCAGTTACCTTTCACGTTTTGTTGATCCGTAACGATACTGACTATTTTTATCCCAATCAGGGCTTCTGTAACAACTGTTCTCTCCCTCAGTCCTGTGGATTACGGGCCATCTGTTCTCTCCAACTCATTTTATTTTCATAAAAAAGTTTCTTCGCGCAAACAGTTGATCAAGTAACAGAAGATTGTTTCTCTACATTTCGTATCCTGATATTGGTTTTATCTCTCGTAATATAACAATCGCGTTAGGTATTGTAGTCTTCTTCCAATTTCGGGCGTCGGTCACTGGTCCTTTTGAACTTCGGATTCACTCCTAATGTCCACTACGTGTGCAATGCTTTGCGTAAAGATGCAACAACCGTATTCAGCAACTGATTGCTTTTCAGGTGCCAGTTCAGTTGAAGTCCCTTGTTGTTCCGCCAATGTGGGCTTAATGCATGGAACTTAATTCTCTCCCGCGGGCCTACTTCTCGTGGAAACGGAAGCTAATTTTATGCAAGTAAAATCATTTAAATCCGGTGTATTCTTCTTCTGGCTGCAACGAGTTAACTCATACTAACAGTAGATTAGCATCACCGTCCGGATCCTCTGGAAGCGGTGGACGGTAGATAGTCACTTATTGGGTTAGGTTTTCCGGCATCGGATGTGATAAATAATTTAGTAATAATTTTTCCACTTTTCACCTATGAAAACAAAACAGATATGGCCACTGTGCTAGATGGGTAGTGGTCGCGCTGTGGGGTGTACCGTGTGTATGTATTATGGAGTTGGCTTATTGAGAAATTCTGTTTTCCATTTATTGGGATTAATAGAAAAACGAACAGTTCATTTGTGCATTTATAGGCAGTTGCATTTCATGTGCCTTCAAGTGTTTCCAACTGAGTTATGAAAGGCAGCATATCGTATAACACAACCGTCCGTTTCTCTTTAATTTGCCTATGTAATATGGTTTATTTTCTTCCTCAAATCATATCGTGGAAATGTAAATCATAGGACAAAGTTTTTATCGCGATCACATAGACGACTCTTTTTTTGATGCGTACAATAACAGTGCCCCATTTCCATTTTTAGGCCTTGTTTATATGGTGAATTTCATTGTCTACGGAGCAAATGAAATTTGAACTGAAAAGTTGGGAAGTACTAGAAAACTGTTTCGACCTGATTGGGTCTCATCAGTAGTGAGAATTCATCGACTCAACTAGGGGATCGAACCTGGGACCTCACAGACAGACTTCAAGCATACCACCCACTCAGTCACTAGGACGTTGATCAGGTGGTTTTTTTCCTTGCCCAAGATATAGTACATTCTCTCGCAGACAATGCACCGCATGGATCCACCGCAGATATGATCACGCATTGCCGATGTATGCTTCGCTTCACAACATGCTTGATCACACTCGAGACATCTTAAACTGGATTTAGTTCTTGAGAGTAAGGGACATGGCGCCAGGAAATGCAAGCTGAAAAATCAAGGTGCATTATCGCATGCTACTACCACATTCTTTCTTACATAACCTTGGAGTTCATAGAGTACGCTTCGCAATCACGTGTCAACAAATTTCCTTTGTGTACGAAGTGCGTTTTGGTGAATGATTTAAAAGCCTGTATTTTAAGGTAACACCAATACATACAGGTTTCTGTCCCAGCTAATTCCCACAGATCCTCGAATCCAGTTACACAGCAGCGGGAAATTCATTATACCAATTTCGCTACTGATTTGAAACTATCGTTTTGGATTGAGAAAGCAACGCGGTGGTCGGATCCGCTTCTGTTGGGCGCACCTTCTTAGTCAATTGATAACAAGTTTTATCGATCCCGGGAATGATCACTTGTGTTTCCACACTCTTTCTAGGTTGAAGTGAGGCAAACCTCCGTTTTGCATCTCGGTGAGGCCGTGCAATTCGCGCTAGACAACTAATTTCGAACCGAATCGATAAGCACGAGGGGTGACGCACTGATTGGTACACGCTACAGCTAAGGCACAACTGGTCGTAGTTGCTCGGACATTGACGTTGGTCCAATCACGAAACGTTACCACAGCAACCACGACTATGGATGCTGTACTCTGAACGATGAAATTACGTGGATTGTGTGATCATCATAGTTGTAAGTACAATTCCAGCCGCTTCGTTTGTCCGAATTTCGCGTATACTGACATCAATCCTAAGGTCCACACAAACCAGCAGATCACTTAGCCGCTACCACCCGGATCAGGACAACTTTTCTACCGATTGAAAATCAGTGCTACATAAACCGTGTTGCTAAAATTGCTTTACTCTGCGTTCTTGATAGTCTTCAGCACCTCAGAACAACTTAAGGCACAAATTCCGTTAGACACACATGATCGCAAAGGTATTGAACAAATAAAATTTCGTGTAGCGTACTCGGTTCATTGGTTATCATAGCTGAACCACACCGCAGTATTTACAGTTCTGGCATACAATCCAGAAGGAACGATAGAGAAACAGTATCAATTGAAACATATCATGAATTGGTAAGCAATGAATGAAATAATCTGTCTCTCACATGATAGTACCTAGGCTCACGGATTGGAAAAGGTGAAAGACGTTTGTTGGCGCAACGTTTTACGTGTCAGGTCCATCCGAGGACCACAGGGTAACTGCACGAGATGAACATATTTTAGTAGAAGCGAAGGCTTAAAATTCCGCTGAGTCGTAACCGTTAAAACCTTAGAGCGCGAAAGTGAGGAGATGCACTATGCATTTAATCCAGAGAGAACGTTGATCCTTACGTGGCGATCCAAGCCAAATCGGACCGTAAATACTCTCGTTGGTTGTCAATGATATGACGATGGAGGTTGCGAGCGACACCGTTACATTTTCTTAAGTTATTAAGCTGCGGACTGGTGTCATTGTCTTAGATAAGCACGCAGTCCGCCAGAGAAAATAGTAACCAAGCTCTAACTTGTGTCTGCTACCCGTATATACTAGAATTGCTCGGTTTCTATAGTGATGATCTGATCTGCTGAGGCTAACTAACTTATGGAACACCTTTAGAATTTCTTATTGGTAGTAGCTTCAGTAATCACTATTTTAAGATCGACTACGATGGTTTTCCCATTGTGAAGCTTGATCGAGAAATGGGAGTGTCCCCGTAATTTATGCGCACACCTTCCAGTATTCGACTAGTTTTATTTGGGATTTCGATTAGTTGAAGCCAGTTTGTATTTCCTACTTGTGAATGTTGTGCTTTAACCTCAATTCACCCAGTTTACTTTGGGTTGTGGAATTGTTTTAGTAGGACTAACTGATTTCATCCACGAAGATTACCAAATTCGGAGTCCCTATTCGGAAAAGTACATTTCGGAAAACATTCCAATTATTGAACTTATGATTTCTTAGAAAATTCCATAACAATCATAACATTTATGGTATATTTTGACAGTCCTCATTACGTTATTTCAATCGCAGTTTGGTTGTTAGAGAAATTTCATTCCGGTCGGGATATATGGGCAAAATGGTCATTCTGATTATTCAGTACTTGAACAAATATGATCTGAAATTGTCCAACAAACTGGATGTGAATCTGGTCAACACTGATGTATATCTCGTATCGGAATATTCTGAAGTCAACGGATGTGGAATAAAATATTTTTGCAAATGTGGATGTTGCAAACATTGGTTAAAAGATAGGAAAATGCGGCGGTTGTGTGCTGCAACACATGTTGATTGGAGAAGATTTAACCNACGTTCCCGAATCGTCAAATCATTTGACACATCTCGTAGGGCTTCAGTGTTTGTCGATAACCTGCAAGCCTCCTAGGAGTATGAAGTTTTAACTATGAAAATATCCCGTATACAAGAGGTGGAACGCGAAAGACCGATAAACCGAGCACTTGTTGAAAATGACGTGCTTAACGGTCCCGATTCATTGAGTAAAGACCTCCGCTAATGTCACAGCATTCAGCCGTACAATCGAGCTCACTCTCAGTAGTATGATCGTTTCTTGCTACCACTCTGATCGTACGTTCCTCTACATTGTTTTACGCGTATTGTTTAGTTCCGGTTATAAATGGTTCAACTTCGTCTGTCCGTTTGGAATTTCACGACCTGCTGCGGACTGATGGGCGTAGAGAATAATTTTACCGTTGTATATTGCCTGCGAGTTAATCATCCACTCCAAAGGATCAGAAATTTCTTAACCGTACGAATTCTGTCCGTGGATTCAACCATTCGGAAGCCCAGTGCGGATTAGAAAATTTAGCTTTTGCTTATTTTCACTTTCAGACTAGGTAACCGAGCCAAATGTCAATGCAAGAGCGCAACTTCAAAGCTCATTCAGCCAATCCGGATTCATCTCATCGGTGACCATATGTGTGGAGGGTAAGAAGAGACAGCACGGGTTGTGTGAATGAACCAGTAGGAGAATGAAATAACTCTATTTTGTCCATTGAAAGCCGCGGATTCATGTGGTCACTCGTTCCTTGTCGAGTCTATTTCGTTGGCACTGAAACAATCCAGTCATGAGAAATTACTCTTCACAATTATGACAAAATTGAAGCGGCTAGTATTCAATTTGGGACACTGATATGCTTGATTGGTTCGCAAATTTCCCGAAATCTCAGATCTGTCGGCATGCGTCAGACCAACTGAGCTTTGTAATCGGCTGTTGCGTTTGACATAAAAATTAGACAGTTTGGTCTACAGTCGACAGTGTGACGATGACCTAATCAACGGTTGTTAAGGTTCGGCAAGCCTCAAAAATAGGATTTTATGAATTCCGTATGCTACTTCAAAGATCTGAAATCTAATGAGCTTTGTTCAACATTTGTGATCTGCAAACTATCGTATTCAGCATCCATGTCAATTCAAATAATACAGAGCTACATCAGAAAACACATTCCTGCTCCACTATTGACTGCAATTCACTGAAACGTATATTTTATTGG